TATTGCAGCGAAATGTATTTTATTAAATAACTCTGCGAATTTTCAACATTTTTCGTTCAAACTTGGTCAGATAGTAGAACTAGTCTAATGCTTTCATTAAAACCAATAAAAAATTTTTAGGCAAAATTAACACTCAAAAGTGTTCTGTAACCTTAAAGCGCCTGGGTACGAGGCAGGCGATTGTATATTATTAATAACAGTAACTTGAGATTGTTCTGAGAGATTAGTTACGAAAGAGATGAACAGTATTGTTACTGAAACCATAACATAGGAGTTTCTTAATAGAATATTATGATCAATGGTATCAAAAGCTTTTTTAAGGCCAATTAACAGGAGTCCATTAATTAATCCGTTCTCCATGTTAGTATACCATTGATCAGTAGCATCAAGTAATGCAGTTCATGTGGAATGCAAGGGGCTAAAACCAGATTGTAAAAAAAAAGGAGATTGTGTGTAGTTAATTATTCTTACATTTGGTCGAAGATTAATTTCTCAAAGATTTTCGAAATTACAGATAAGACAGATATTGGTCTGTAGTTGTTAGGATTAACTTTACAACCCTCCTTATGAACATGAGGAGTGACACTTGCACTTTTCCAATCATTTGGCACAGTGGGATTGCGAATAGCTAAATTGATGATATAAGTCAGTGATTCAATTGTCGTAGCTGCACTCAACTTCAAGAAAAAAACTGGAATTTTATCAAGACTACTAGCTTTACGCGTAGATAGCTTCTCAACTAATTTTAGAATGTCATACTGTACTATTTCACTGAACTCAAAATGCCTTGATGAGCGTGATGAGATGCGATCGTAATCAATATTTTCATTTTGAGAATCAACCTCAGCTGCTGATTTAGTTCCCATGCTTGTGAAGTGAGTATTGAATGCATTACTCATGACCTCCACTGGATCACTGATCTCAGTGTTGTCAATCAGAACTTTCGTAGTTTGAATCTGTTTCTTGTTTTAGAAAGTAAACTATTAATACATTTCCAGGTATTCTTTATATAGCCCTTATTGAAGAATGAGCTATAATAGTGGCTTTTTGTGGTTGTTGATTTGCAATTCACTAGATTTTTAAATTTTTGTAACTGGTTATTCCAAGCTATTTCATCATTTTAGTTATTACTACAATTCGTTTCAATCCATCCCTTTCCCACATTAATTGCTTAACTTCACTTGGTATAGGCTGATAGCCAAGGTACGCTAGTTTCCCGCACTCTTCTTTTTTAATTGGTGCATGTAGAGATCTGCAATTTGTAAAAATAGGTTTTTCCAAATATCCTAAGCTTGATCTCTAACTGACATTATTATACATTGTAGTTGGTAAAAGCAATTTGATTGGCTAACAGCTTACAGTTAAATCGCACAATCACGCAACCTACAGAAAATCCAGTTATCTGCTAGCAGATAACTCAGTTATCTGCAAATGAGCCTGCGATGATTAGCAAGCGGTATCTATTTACAGTCAAAATACAAGAACCTTCCCACTTCCGCAACTTGTTTTGTATTTCTGTAATTTGTTCTATTTTCTGTAGCGATTTTTGTCGGCAAATATCGCGGTAGAATTCCCCTTTCTTTCCTTTATATACGTCAATTTGTAGCAAAGGATACACCTTTCGTTAGATTCTTTGCATAAAAGTTGTGAAATTTTCATTTTAGTACGTCACTGAATGATTGTATTCGGTAATTTTAAATTTGTATAGTATGAACATACTAGGCGGCGGTTTAAAACCGATTTATCAACAAATATCGCTATAAGATCTAAGTTTCGCAACTTTTATGCAAAGAATCTAACGAAAGATGTATCCATTGCTACAAATTGACGTATTTTAAGGAAGGAAAGCGAAATTCTACCGGATCCTAACGCGATATGTGCCGATAAAGCGGTAATCGCTACAGAAAATAGAACAAATAAATACAAAACAAGTTACAGAAGCGGGAAGGTTCTTGTATTTTGACTGTAGCACAAACAAATGTATAATAAAACAATTACTGAATTCGGTTTTTGCGATATGCAAAATTATCAAGGTCTCGGTAAGCGTTATCAGCCTCGCCTTCAACTCGGCTGATAACGCTTACCTCGACCTTGATAATTCCGCATATCACAAAAACCTCATCCAATAATTGTTAATTATTCTATGCCAGGTGCAAGATCGATATCTCTTTTAATGTTATTCAAAATGAAATGTTTGAATTAAATAGCGAGCCTGGATAATTTTTGGCTTTGATTTAGGGCTAGAGTTTTTCCTTGCAGCATATACGATGCGCCGAAACGTTCAAATTTCAGACACCCCCCCCCCCCCATTTGCACTTGAAAAGACTGTTTTTAGCCTCTTTTAGGTCAAAATTTCCGGAAGTTCGTCAATTTTTCCGCCACTGAAGATCAAATAGGCCTGTTTTAAGGCCTGATTCCACGGGCGCTTTTTCTCGGCGAAATGCGAAATATTTCGCCTGTTTCTTTTGAATTGCGACCACTCGAATAAATTATTTCTACTTGATCGCCCACAATTCAAAAGAAACAGGCGAAATATTTCGCATTTCGCCGAGAAAAAGCGCCCGTGGAATCAGGCCTTTATACGTCGAATTTTGGTCGCGTCGAATGCAATTATGGCAATAGATGAGATGATGAACCTCATTAAGCTTCATTATCTATTGTTTGAATTGCATTCGACGCGATCGACTTGATTCGACGTATAAAACAGGCCTTAGAGTAGCAGAATTGTTAGTAATAGTAATTCTAGTTGGCTCTTGAACAAATGTTAAGCAGGTTGGATACCAATGACCATTACACCGTTATATTTTTGGGAGATTTTAATCATCCAGCAATTCGCTGGATAGATGGATCTGGTTTTTCAAATTCAGTGTCAGGCGAATATAATGACTTTGTGAACCTACTAATGGATAATTATATTTATCAACTAGTTGAAGTCCCAACTAGAGGTGATAAAATTCTTGATCTGGTGCTAACCTACAGGGTGTATAAAAAAAACACAACCTCAGAATTTCGTAAGAAATCACTTTGCAATTCTTAAGCATAAAAGATTTTAGGCCCCTGGAAATTGAAATCGAATTGCTAATAGATCATATTAGTGTTGTTGTGCATTAAATAAATGCATACATTTTGCTTTATGCACTCGCGTGTGCAGTAATTTTGACAGTTGTGCTATTTTAAATTCCCAGGCGCCTTAAATCTTTTGTCTTTAAAACAATGTCGATTTCTTGTCACAACAACACTAATCGATTTCTTGTCTAATCACAACAACACTAATATGATCTATTAGCAATTCGATTTCAATTCCCAGGGGCCTAAAATCTGGCATAGTACAAAACATGGACTGGACTGGACTGGACAGTTGGACTGGACTGGACTGGACAGTTGGACTGGACTGGACAATTGGACTGGACTGGACTGATTTTTGATTTTCTCTATTCTTGACTTGCACATCACCCGCCATGTCAGGTGGCATGGCACAAAAGAATATTTATCACATAATAGATATACCATGTCTATTTTGTGATTTTATCGATGAACATTGTCTGGTGTGTACCAGGAGGAGGAGATTGGTTGCAAGTCATTAATATAACGTTTTGCACCTGAATTACTTTCGGAATTGATTTTCGGAAATTGGAATACTTTACCTTCGCCGGTGACCTCACTTTATAACTGGAGTGAAATCTCTTAAAGCGAAAGAAACCCCAGTAGGTAGAATAGAATCATAGGCGTACCGGACGGGGGGGGGTGGTATTAGCCCCCCCCCAGTTTTTTGGGCAGTCTGGCAATATTCGATCAACAGTCGGGCAATTTTGGTTTGTAATAAAAATAAATGGGACAAATTCTGTCAATTTAGTGGAAAATTCAGTCAATTTTGTGGTCAATTTTTTTTTTAAATTTGTGTGATGTGTGATGT